GCGCCCGAGGGCGGCGACGGGGAATCGAGGGTTGTGTGCCGACACCCACAGCAGCTCCGCCACCGCTTCCCCGAGCGCTTCCTGTGGCACCTGCACACAATTTGGGACCGATTCTCTCGCAGAGCTGTCAGGGGAGGTCTGGGCTGCGAGCGTGCCACTGAGGCGCCCTAGGGGCACCAACACTCTCTGTACTCCTGCCTGCGCGGGCTTCAGGGTCCCTGGTTGGAGGAAGGGACGGCTGAAGACGCCGCGGGCGCTCGGACACCCCTTGGCGTTAGAGTGCCCTCCCTTTAGGGCCTTGGCGCTGAACCCCTCTTCCCCACCAGATGGAGCAACTGCCTTTTACCAAACCCTAATGAGACTGGGGTCTCACCTTGAGTGCGCTACCGCCCCCTCCAGGCATTTGACCTCCTGGTGTCCCCAACTCCTGAAGGACTCCGCCCTAAAATTCTCTCCCAGATCGAAGCGCTGTCCACTCCTCTTACCATGGCCCTCTGCTGGGTCGCGCTGGCTGCACTGGCTAACCTTAAGGCCAGCCGTCCAAGACCTGGGGCCCCGTGTGCCTCTCCATACCTGAAGACTGAGGATTGTGGTCATTGAAGTATAAACTCCCAAGAGATGACTAATGGGGGACACATAATAGCATATCAAATTAGAATTCATCTTGAACCTGAACCGACCATTGTGGGCGATATGGAGGACCTCCTTGTAACAAGGTGAAGAGTTTAACCCTCTCTGACATGAGCATGCTTTATAATGGAATCCTCAAACAACCCTGGGAACTGAGTGCTGTGTTTATTGTCCTCACTTAGCAGGTGAATCACGGAGGGTTAGAGCCTGAGGAACTCCACAGAGCTGAACTCAGCTCTGAACTCAGAGCCAACAGCAGTGTGTGCAGGATAGAGGGAACCAGCACAGGGAACAGCTTCTACTTCGGGGGGTGTTTAGTGGGGGTGGGGGGGTCATTGCCCTGACTCTGGGTTATTCTGGAACTCTGTTCTTTCACGCATGTGCAGAAGGATTTGGACCTGAGGATGTCCACAGCTCTTCTGGGGTGAGGCAGGGCAGCCCTGTATCACAAGCTAGGTTCTCAGGGAGCCAAACACTGAGTGGGGAGGCTGAGCCCAACTCCTAGAGAGCACCTTGGACAGCGCTGGGGAAGCCAGGCCAAATTATCCCTGCCCCAGAGCCTCTTTCTAGGCTTCTGTAGACACTACCTCTCTGGCTCCACTTAGCATTTCCTTCTCCCTGGGCAGGAGGGTTTGCATGGGCAGAGCCCTGAGCACCTCCGCCATAAAAGAGCCCAGACGGTATCTGTGATCCCAGACACTCACTCAGTCGGTATCTTGCTTGACAAGGCAAATGCCCTTTAGCCATGGGCTCTGACATCTGTCATTCCTCAATTCCTTGGCTCAGGTTTCTGAATGAGCATTTCCATCCCCCCCCCTTCCTCTTACTCATTTGTGTTCTCCTTGTAAGCTGTACCAATACACTGACACCTACATCTGGAAGAAAGTTGAAAGCTGGGATAACTTAGACATTTACTCAAGTGGTTGAAGGTCCTTTCTGCAGCTTGCCTTTCATTCAGCCCCTCTGTCTCTACTTATGGGGTGACCTAGCTTCAAGACACGTGGTCTGGGACCAGCCCTGACCCACAGAACACCAGGCTCACTCTGCATCAGCCTGGCTCCAGGCCAGCTGCTGACTCACGTCCCACTTCTGACGCCGGGCATCCCTCTGGCTCTCTGCACTCTCTGGCCTTGTGTCCCACTTTGGGTAACTGAGTCTCTGGCATGCTTCCTGGATCTGAGTTCCTGTCTCGTTCGCCAGCCTCAAGCTCATGTCCAGCTTCTTTATAATAATCATTCACCCTCCAACCAATGTTTTATAGGGCTGGTCAGTGGCTTAGGAGCTGAGGATGAAAAAAAAAATCTCTGCTCACTTAAAACTCGACTGGGAAAAAAAAAGACAACAAATAGAAATTAAAAGTTAGTTTATGGAAAGTGCAATGGAGAAAAATACAATGAGCAGACTGATAATGCCAGGATGGGGCTGCAATTTGAAACAGGGAGGTCATGGAAGGACACACTGAAAGGAGCTAAGTAAGCAAGACAGACACATTGTGTTCCAGGTGGAGAAGCAGCAAGGGCAGAAGCTCCAAGACTGGGCTGTGCCTAGTTGTTCAAGGAACAGTCAGGGAAGTCAGAGTGCCTGGAGCAGAGCGAGCAAAGGGAAAGGAAGAACTATCCAAGGTCAAAGGCAGGTGGGATCATAGAGGACCTAAGCATTGTGAGGATTCTGGCTTGCACGTGATGAAATGGGAAACCACAGGAGGGTATGGAGTGAGCAGTGACATGATCTGATATATTTTAATAGGGTCACACTGGCTGCCAGGTAAGGAGCCGTTTGTTGGGGAAAATAGTGGAAGTAGGGAGACTTGCTGTCAGGTATCAGAAACTGGGCCCAGCTTCTGGGAGGAAGCAGGTGGAGGCCATTACCATAAGCCACGTACGGTCGCAGAAGCCAGGGTGCACACAGAAAGCTGGTGAGAAGTGACTAGGTTAATCACTGTCATCACTATTCATGAGACTCAAGGGCACTGGCAGATGCCAAGGCCCAGGCTGTGACTCGTGGGCTCATCTCCTTTAGAACAGGCGAGAGGTGTATCCCTAGAAAGCAATGACTGTCAGTCCGGCTCTACATGGCTCTCATCTTCTTCCTTGAACCCTGCCCCCAGAGAAATTCTTTCTCCCATGCCCTCTCCCTGCACAGACACCCAGAAACCAGTCTCCAAACTTCAGTTCAGAGACTGGGGTCGAAAGATGATGTCCATTCCCTTTCTGGGAATTTTGGACCTCGTGGTCTATCTGGCCACCTATTGGGGCATCATCTCATCTCTTTGAGGGCATCTCATGTGTTTGAGCAGGACCCCAACATAGGGAGTTAACACAACCCCCACTCTCTTTACATTTTGGGTTGAACACCCCTCATCAGTCGGTGCAGCTACTCAGATCCACTCTGGTCTCCTGTCCCCTCCCGGGAACTGGGTGTAGTTTCTAAAGACCCAGGCCCAGTCTGACCTGTCAATCATGTCTCTAACTCCCAAAACAGGAGGTCTTCTGTTATCTTTATCTAAAACAAAATGATAACTTCTGGCTGCAAACATTTCCCATGTGTTTTTTTTAAAGATTTATTTATTTATGCATACAGAACTGGGGTACAGGGGCAGTACCAGAGACAGAGTGGGAAGCAGAACAGGCAGATGGATGAAGTACACGGCTGAGGGGAGCAGTGGGCGGGTCAGGAGAGGTCTGCCGTGCCATGTGGATCACCTCTGGGCCTGGGGATCGAACTTGCTTACTGAAGAGGCTATGGCTAGTTTGCAGTGCTGCACTTTAACCTGCTGCGCCACCAGGGAGGGCTTCTCATGTATTTCTTATTCACTTGTACATGGAAGTGTTTCTTCCAACCAAGTAACTCAGCTGTTTTTTAAATTACATTGTATCCAGTTCTTTTCTTTTAGTGGATAAGTTATGAATGATGGCTCAAAAAAGATTAGCTGAATGAATCTATGTTAATTTTCCCTCTTCACAAGGCACGTTTTTGAAACTGTAAAATTGGGTTTTAGGCATCAAATGTGGTCTGGTGACACAGAGTTCGGGTAATAGTAATAGCTACCATTTATTAAACACCTACCTACTCTGTGCCAGACACCTTGGTATGCATCATCTTAATCTTCATGACTGCCTGAAAAAGAGGTGTTAGATTCTCAGTTTTGCAAATTATGAGACTGAGGTCCAGATGGATTGCATTAGTGCCTACTGCCACTCTGCAGTGGTAGCCACAGGGTCAATCCCCACCTGTCTCACCCAAATTCCTACCCTGCCTCTATTGCACTTGCCTCTCCTTGAAGGTGCCCTACAAGACTGAAGAGCGACAGTCTTCAAGAGGGAAAGAAAGCAGCTGAGGACACACAGCAGAAAGAGATAAAATGACTTGGCCAAAATAGTCGACTTGACCCACTAAATCAGCCAGGAAGCTGACACCACATTTGGGCAGTTAGTGGGCAGTGTGCCCCTGGACTATGACTTAAGCTTCATGAGTCAGTGCAAGCCTGGCTGGACCAGCAGAGCCTG